CATACTGTGGGTGCTAAATCATCGCTCCTTTTCGAGTGGATTCTGTTGGGTATATTCGACTAAAAGCGGTCGGAAGGGTCGAAATCATCGAATATCATAATTGGATGTGATTTTGATGAGGTATGGAGCGATTGGAGCGATTATTGTTAGTGGGCCGATTTCCGTTCTTATGCGGACTTCACCTTTTAACATGTACAAATTTTAGTTTCTACATAATACAACGACGCATTTTCATCAATAACGCTCTGTTTTGGTCGTTTAATCTTATCTGTTTCACGTTAGTTTGATTGATTTTGGTTGAAAACTGAGAATTTTACCAAAAAATGACATGGCAGTTTTGCCTATGTTCACGGAAAAAGTGAAGAAAGTGAACTTAAACGTGCTTTTCATTTTCATCTCTTCGATCATTCTCGCAATGACCTTACCATTATCGCTATCGAATCCAATCACATCAGTGAACAACATCGACTGGCCCGCGAACAATATTGGATAACGGGCTGAAACCTTCAGAATGTAGAGTATTTATGCTACTCTGTGTGGTACTTATTAGAAATGTATAAAAGCAGAAATCCACGTTTTTATAAAACTCGATTTTCACCAGTTTTTGGCACCCTCTCCTGAAAACAATCATTGCCATAGGATTCAGCGTGGTGGATTAGGTATGTTTCATGAGATTTAAAGGCTATCTAAGTCACGAGAAGCCAGTTCTGGTACTCCAGTGAAGCCCGATACAACTACCGAGCCGCTGAAAATCAAGATCTTGTTGAACTTCATTTCGGAGAGGACAGTTTAGACTATCTAGCTCTGAAAGAAAATTAAAATATTTGTATTTCAAGTTTTTGATGACCTGGATAGAGCAAATGGTAGAGCATGTCTAGACCAAGTACCCAAATCACTAAATGGCGCAAGAGACTAATTGTTGTTGTCATGGCTTATAATATCACCTCTAATATCATGTACATTTGATCAATCGAATATGTTTTATTCTGTAGTAATAGTACAAATGCATGTTATCATCAAGATTAGGCAGTAATTGCATATTTGTATTGCTCAGGTCGAACGATACGATCCATATACGGACGGTCTACTGGACGCAGGAATACGGATCGTAACATCATTAAAATAGGGCCGTATACGGCCGTATTTTCACAATATACGGCCCGTAAACGGTACCGTTTCCGGGCACAGTAATGCGAGGTCGTATACTGTGAAAATACGGCCGTATACGGCCCTATTTTAATGATGTTACGGTCCGTATTCCTGCGTCCAGTAGACGGTCCGTAACGGATATCCGTTTTGCTCGACCTGGGTGGTTAGGACATTCTTTGTTTAAACATAATAAGCCGTATGATATTGTTACATGAACAACGTATCATTTTTCTTATCATTAGCTTTGCTGCTTCTTCGAATGTTTCACCTTTTATTCAAAAACGTTAAATATTACCTATGCAAATATACAAAAGTTCTAAAAATGAATGTATGCATGGTAGTACGCACTATTATTCTTGAAATAATGTTAATATTTGCTTAAAGCAAAGTGAGTTGAGACAGTGATAAGCGATCAAATTTACCTCTACGTCTCACCAGTTACATCATACAGATGCGGGATGGCAGTCTAATAGGTATTTAGTAGGTGGATTCGTAAATTTGTGTACCTGAGTGAATCTTAGATGTACTTGAAATCATTCTGTCAAAATGGCTGTGGAGTGTTTACTTAACAAACTTCGGCTGGTTCAAAGCAAGGAGGTACCGTTCACTCCTCGTTCCTCGATAAAAGAACCGCTTGTGCTATCCTTGAGACCTCTGAAAACGCTTTATTGTGTGAATTTGCTTCGAACCATTTGGGTTATGAAAATATTTCTCGTGACAAAATAATACTAGATCATACTCGTGCGCTGCCAAAAGCTATGGACTAACGGTAAGGATTCGGTAGTGTTACCCCTCAATGACACATAAATATCTTGCCAGAAATGCTCCAACAATATTCTCCAATATCGACTCTACAGCATGCGTAATGGAACTTCGTAATTGCCTGAACTGATTACACCACCTACGCATCAGGTATACGTGCCGACTTTTTCTCAAAACAGCAGAAATAGCGTACCATTTTTGAGGCGAGTAGCAATCGTTTCGTCGCTATAATTCTATGGAATGTTGAGAGTGTTACGGGACGCATTAAACAGTGAACATTCTTCGACAAGGCTAACTCTCCGTCTAATCTAAGAAATATCCATGGATATCTGTGAATTTTGTGTACATCAACCGTTAGACTTCAACGTGTATTTTTCATATGTGAACAGAGACCAAGAGTACTCAACAACGCCCCGGTTGTTGTCGCCCCGGTGCATTTTTCGTGACTTGAATGTGATTTTATGACTAACTGATGGGTTAGAGGTGATTATGTATCTTGACTGATTACATTACGTGAAGCGATTTTAAAAATATTTCTTCTTTCTCACACAAAAACCTCGCTATTCAATCAATTATCGGATTTTTACAAATATCAAAGTGGCATGCTTCACAGGCTTGATTTACTTCTGCTTCAGTATGTTTCCGCCCACGACCACCGTTGTCATTACCAATAATAACGTGTCCATTTGTCATTCTATCTATAACATAATTAATTGCTTCTCTTAGTTGAAGTTCATTGCAAGAAGGTTTAACAAAGTCTTGTGAATGACATTCCAAACACTGTTGACGATAAACTCTCATTTTTATTTGACGTCTTTGTCGATTAAATTTAAATAACATATAAGCATGACGATTGGACGACCAACTATTCGAACAATGTGAACATTTATAAGGTAATTTATAACTGACATAGTCAACTGGTCGAACATTTATTCGTGACCATCCATCAGTTGGTACTGTTTCATTAAGTGGTAGTTCTTGAATTCTCCATGTATTATATGGATGATTGAAACTATAAAACGTTCGTTGAATGTCATTGAAAGAAATTTCTCGATTCGCCGCCATCATCAATAAAGTTTTTGTTTTTCTTCTTGTTCACTTTGTATGTGTTCTTCTTAATAGAGAAAATGTCATCTGCCGAATGGTTTTGTTTTGTTTGTTCTTTTTTCCCTACAGTGGATGCAAAAACGACAGCCACGTTTACAACTTATTTTTTTCTTTCACTTATTTTTTTCTCACTCTTTTTTCTTTCTAAAACAGAAAATGAGAAAATGTCATTATCATCACTAACGAGGGAACCTTTGGAGGTGATTAAAAGCTTTTTAATCGACATCTAGTGGGTTATAGGTTATCGACCATGCTGATTCCGAATATGATCATGGGACTGGCCCATAGATCTTCGAAGATCCAGTCTTCTGGAAAACCAGTTTTTCAGAAATCCCAAAAAATAACCCAATCCTTTCTTAATAATGCAGGATTGTAGCGCACAAATTTCTGATTGAAATGATACATTCCCCAGCTCTACACGACCTTTCTTTGCAAAGTTATAGAATTTATAAGAAGAGCCTTAAATTGTTCATTGTCAGCCCAAAGCTACAGAAATAAGAAGGAAAGAATTAATTTAGGGCTCTTCTTATAAATTTTATAACTTTGCAAAGAAAGGTCGTGTAGAGCTGGGGGATGTATCATTTTAATCAGAAATTTGCGCGCTACAATCCTGCATTATTAAGAAAGCATTGGGTTATTTTTTGAGATTTCTGAAAAACTGGTTTTCCAGAAGACTGGATCTTCGAAGATCTATGGGCCAGTCCCATGATCATATTCGGAATCAGCATGGTCGATAACCTATAACCCACCAGATGTCGATCAAAAAGCTTTTAATCACCTCGAAAGGTTCCCTCGTAAGAGGGAATCCGAGTTTGCTGCATGATTATTGAGCTGTTCGAGAGAAAACATAAATAAAAATTGTACATGGTGATTTCAACAAAAACCGATGGTATTCACAGATGATCTTTTCAGCAAACCTCCCATTTTCTAATTAAAATTTCTGTATAAATAAGAGGCGCTAGTGCGATTCAAATATACATGCGAATTCTACTGCAAAAAGTAGTTTGATGTTCCAGGCTCATTTTGATCGTTGATTTGTGCCTGTTAACTTTTCTGTAACGCTTTCTGAATCAACTTCGCTCTGATGTATTGTGTTTGTGAATCAGTCAACCTTTTTGCATCCGTATAATTCACTTCTGCTACTATCATACAAATAACGTTCATCTTCAACTCACTTGGTCTCTTGACGTTAAATCACAATGACCATTTTTTTATAGGTAGTTAATGAACACAGAGAGATATCTGCAATATAGCATATACACACGGAGATTAGGCCTGGTTCGTCTACTCGCTTTGCTCGTGCCGAAGTCAGTCGATAAATATGAAGTAGCGAGGCAACAGATTCCTACGCTTCGGAAAACATGTTAAGTGATCATTTCACACTGTTAGGATTCCATAGAACAACAGAAATCCAAATGTTTCCCGAAGAATCTCTGGGGACGGATACCATGTTCAATGTCTATTTCACACCAGTTCCAACTAAAGAATAGTCAGAAACTTGGACGTTTTGTAGAGAACTTGTGAAGATCTCCTAAAAGCCTTGTGTGGGGGGGATCACGAGATTCTCCAGTGGAATTCCCTCTAGCCCATAAACTTCATTTAAGCAGACAGTTTCTCTAAAGAGTTATGAGCGATGTTGAAAACGGAGAGGAGAAACTGAGATGGGGTATCTCTAAATTTATATCTATTGAATATATCTAAGCCACAAAAGAAGAAAATTCCTAAGTTTTGTAACGGATAAAGTTCTTTTAGGTTTTTCCTTCATGTCAACTTCTGCTTTTCCAGCATAAATCTTAAATTCCTACTCTCCTTTCCACATGGGTTGAGATATTTGGGGTATTTTATTCTTCTTTAGAGCACAGGTCTTACTTAGTACTCGTCTTTATACATCGCGTAAGGTATTGGGTATTTGATTGCACAGATGATGAATCATCGGTCTTGTATAGTTTCTTTCACAAATCTATGTGATCGGATTCAAATCAATGTTGCATTGAGCCTGTACAAAACTAGTTTGGTGTATTAGAATTTATTCTGTATTTATGATCTGAAAATCGGGTTAGAGATGAGCGGTAACGGCGTTTACCGCGTTAAAATTTTGAAGGTTTTACCGTAAGCCGGTAACGGTAAAAGAATAGTTTTTACCGAATCTCCATTTTGGCTTTTTGATGTTCTATTCACTAGCAAAGAATAACTTGTAGTAGAAAACATTAAGGCATTTTACAAGAGCGTGCACACATAATAATTGTAAACAAGATTTTTTGTTTTATCAAATCGGACGGAAAGAGAGAAGATATAGAAAAATGTTTCAAATTCCATGAAGTCCAGGGCCATACCCAGGAAGTGGGCAAACAGGGCATGTGCCCATCCCCTGGGATCTTGCTTCACTGTAAAAGATTTTGAATTACTAAAAGATGCACTGTCGATGAACGAATAAAAAGTTCGTGAGGACCCGTTCAAAAATTGTTGACACCCTTCCGCCATCTCCTTAGCAAAATCCTAGATACGGCACTGATGAAGTTCACTTTTTCTCGTTACACACCAACATTTTTTCTCAGAGACAAACTGCAAAGTGATGCAGCTGTGAAGTCTCTTAATTCTTTTCTTAAGTCTCTTAATTTCTAATGTATTTCCATAGATGATGTCAGCATAAGTGAAACAGCGCATTATGAATGAATTATAAATTATACTTAATGCTTCAGGGGCGTCTATCCCCACCTAAGGGTTTGAAGCATAACACCCCACCGTTCATTTTGTACCACGTATAAAAGTTGTATTATTTTGGATATAGTACAAAATGATTTTTGTAATGTCCGATCTGTGTTGTACTGGTGGTTGTTGCTAAGTAGCAGTTTCTATAATCAATAAAAGATTCAGAAACAGTGAATGCTAAGAAATTAACATTTACGAAGAATCTTGATAAGAAAAGATGCTCAAGCGTAATGTAAATAAATAAATAGCTAGGGATTTATCAAATAAGTTATACTCCCTTCCTGGCAAATATAAGCGAATGTCAAGCGCTTCAAACAGAGTAGAAAGAAGAAAAGTAAAACATGTAAGAAAACATGTCGTACTATTCATTTTACTTCTTTTCTCTCTGTTGTCACTCACACCCGACAGGATGTGAAAGGAAAGTAAATTATTTGATGCATCTTTCTCGTCAAACACCTATACTATAACTGAAATAAAAATATGTTATACTGACTGACTTATAGGAAAAATGTAACTGTTATTTTTAAAACTATGTATTTTGCGTTGAACCGAGAATAATTTTCCATAAATCATAATATAATGTTCTAATTAATCAAATATTCTCCATAAAATGCCCCGATCAACAACAACTCAATATAAGTATCGTTGTCAAGAACCAGCATGCGGTATGACGATGAGAAATGATAAGTGGAAGCAACATTGTCGTGAAAGACACGCTGCAAAATTCAACAGGTATAATACAATCAGACAAGATCTCTTTCTTAATCATAAATTATCTCATATGTCCTAGTAACTTTCAGTTACGTTACGATATTGTTGCTGTCAAAACAAGGGATGGCTGGTCAAAATTCAAAAAAAAAGTGCTGCGTCAGTATCTGCTTCTAATCAAACTTTACCAATAACCTCACCACGTCTGTTCGCATCGGTAACCAATAAAGATGCTAAGCGTTACAACTCTTTTTGAATTCAAAGCTAATACGTGGTACTTTTCTTTTAGAATCATCTCTCGGACATTAGTTCTTCTGTTGTTAACGCTGTTTCAATCAACATTGCACACAACCACAGTTTTGATCAGACAGTGAATGAAGCGATAGATGAGGAAATGGATAGTATTTGATTAGAAGAATGTATTAATGTTCAAGAAAAAACCAAATCTCGAAAATTGAATAATGACGCTTTAGAACATAGCTATTCATAAGACAGTAATTGTAGTTTTAATAGTTGTACGTCGAGTTGTGCTCATTCCGAGGAAGAGTCAGAAGTGAGTGCCAACGGGAATGATCCTTTTTTGTCCGCTGGTAAGAAATGTTCTGCGCAAGAAATAAATCATTTCTTATCATTAGAACCCTGCCAACCGGAGAACGGTTTTATTTTTCCGAAAGAAAGTGAAAGAAGCTGTTCTTGTACTTCATTTTTGAAAAATTTACTAGACAAGTCTAGAGAAAAACGAGAACGGTTAGCGTACAGTAAAGAGAAAAATAAGCTCTATTGTTTATTATGTTCATTATTTGGTACACCACAATGTCATAATCTCTGGAGTAGGAATGGGTTTCAAGATTGGAAAAATGGTGCTAGAAATATTCAAGCACATGAAATATCGAAGGAACACCGGGATTCGGAATTATGTAAACTTCAATGGCGTCAGAATACTAGAATCGATATTAGTCTCGCATTACAAAAAAGTGCTCGTATTGTCGAAAATCGAAGTGTCATGAATGTTATGATTGATAGTGTATTGTATCTTGCTTCAGAAATGATGGCATTACGTGGCCATGATGCAAAAGATGGTAAATTTTATAATTTATTTCGAATGTTAGCAAAATATTCAGTTAGTGCCTCCAATTATTTAACAACATTGAGTAATCATCAATTTAAGCCAGACCTCAATTTTTTAAGTCGTCTTAATCAATCACGTCTCCTGAATGTTATCAAAGATAGAGTTGTTAACACGATTGTTAAACGAATAGGAAAAAATCCATGGACAATTACTCTTGATTCAACACAAGATACAAGTAAAAAAGAAGCCGTCGTTATTTTAGTCCGATATTTGGAAACAAATGACGAAGGGAGAGTATTTCCAGTCGAGCGTCGTCATTAACGCGGAGAACCAGTCAAGAATTGCTAAATAGGGTTGAAAATTTAGTTAACAAACTTCAGTTAGATTATTCGACGTTAGTTGGGCAAGCCTACGATGGAGCTAATAATATGAGTGGTGGAATTACTGGTTTACAGGCCCGTTTGCACGCCAAAGCGCCACACGCACTTTACGTTTGGTGTCGTGCACATCGACTGAATCTAGTTTCAACACAAGCGATGTCATGTACCACTGAAATGAAAAACTGTATTGGGGTTCTCGGCGAGCTTCATTCGTTCTTTTTCTGGTCATGCCAGATATGGCATACTTTTAGGTGAACAACGACAGAAAGGTAACAAAGTTAATCTACAACGAGTTAATACAACACGAGCATGGTCCGTTGTCGACCGAGCAACTAATACACTAATTGATCATTATTCAGAAGTTTTATCTGCACTTTCTATCCTTGCTGCAATCACAGTTCAAATGAGAAAACCGTGTTGTCTGCCAATGGATTAACAAAACAACTAAGAACTTTGAAATTTGCTACGTGTTTATTTATTTTACGTCAAGTTTTTAATATTCTTGGTCCAGCTCTAACATGTTTGCAAGGTGTTGCCGTTGATTTGAGTATTACTTCTTCTCTTCTCAATGATACCGCCAATAGACTACAGACTATCCAGTCGGATGTTAAACAACAATGGAGTGAAGTGTTAGATAAAAGTAAGCACTTTGCTGAAATTAATGATTTAAATAGTAGTTTTGGGAAAATACGACATAGAAAACGAAAACAAATGGTTGATGAATTCTGTGAAGATGAGTCAGTTAGTGATATGAATAAAAAATTACAGGTGGAAGTGTATATACCAGTTTTAGATAATATTATTGATCGTTTCGATGAAAATACAGTTCAAATTTACAAATGTACGGGATATTTTAGCGTTAAAAGTTTATTGACATCGCACGATATACAGCCAATTGATATAAGTGCATTATGCGATTTTTATTCATTGGATAAATCATCGACAGCAAAAGAATTAAATAAATTTCGAAAATATTATAAATCTGCTGAGAAACTTGTTGATGTATCAGATATGTTGCCAACCAAATATCAAAAAAATTACGCCGATTTCGAATGTCAATTTGTAAGGAAGCAATGTGGCATATATGATGAAAGTAATGAGAGGAATGATGACAACAACGAGCATCAAGATTCAGAGGATGATGAAAATGGAATTGAGAAACAAATAGACACGAAAGATCGTTCAAAAAATGAAATAACGGCTAATTCAGAGATAGAACGAACAATAAAACTGTGGTTCTCAAATAGTTTTACAAAGCCACTTCGGGTATTATGGAACACAAGTGGTTACCCACATTTAATGTGTATTTATAAAATCTTGACGGTATTGCCGGTTACAAGCTGCAGTGCTGAACGAGCACTGAGCAAAGTTACGATAGTTAAATATCGGTTACGATCGACAATGATCGATGATTGGTTTGCATCACTAGTAATTATTGCATCTGAAAAAGATATTGTTAACGAATCAAACAGAGAGGAGCTGATTGACGATTTTGCAATGTGTTCGAATGCATTGAAGAAAGAACTACTGCAATAACATTAAGGTTAAAAACTCTCAGGAGAAATTTCTTTCACTTTCTGATAAAAACGGTCTAAGGGAACAGAGGAAAACCAGTGAGGTAATGAAATAGCTAACAATTTCCGCGCAGTACCTCTTTAACAGTAATAAACGGTTCATTTTCTAGCTGAAGTATACTCACCAACGTCAGGTATTTTGTCTTTTATCTTGTTCTATATAAGTTGTACATACTCTCTGTTTTTCTGTGAGAGCAGTATATTTTTTATACTCATTAAGAAGTTAAGTATGTTACTAAAAAATGATATTTCTATGTTTTGACTAACTATTTGTGTTTATATAACAAAAAGCTGTAAGTAAAACTGAGGAGAGAGAAGAAGTTAAAACGGCAATGATGCACTGCAAGAAATTTGTAAGTACAGATGTACTCAGCGCTGATTAAATTCTAAAACGTCCCACTTCTAGATTCAACAAACGTCCCATTTTTGCATTTTAGGAGAAACAGTGTACATTTGTTGTCCAAAACGCCCTTCTTCCAACATTAACTTCAAGCCTCCCGCTCAATTTCTCAATTTTTTCTCCAGCATGGTGGCAAAAAAATTTTTTCAAAATATACCACCGCATATTTTATTTGAGGCATTCTGTCTCAAAGCGTAGACGCCCCTGTAATGCTTGCATAGTTAAAATTCTACTAAATAGTTTTAGTGAACCAATAACTTTGTTTATTTTTAACAATATATAGTTAATGCGTTCGCTTCAGTCTAATTTATTTGTTATAACCAAACCTAGTGTGTGAACATCAACATACTTTGAAACGTCGGTACAAAGAGTTAACAGAGGCTTAGTTTTGGGTAAACTATGAGAAATCCAGAAAAACAGCTAACGTAAGCAACATTCTTTTCTATCGAATGCAGAGTAAATATTATGAACAACGGAAAGAAGATGACTCACACAAGAATCTTTGTGTTTAAAACCGGATTGATTTTCTGTATGTACGATGTCATCTCAAAAAGCTAATGAAACACCTAAGTAAATTAAACAGAGTAAAATGAAAATGTCAGTATTTTTAGTCTCTTAGCAAGAAGTACTTGATTTGTTGAATAAATTAGACTGTCTCAAAGCTTCATCACCAGGTGTATCTCGGCGATTGTTGAAAGAAGCTTCTTGATCGATCTCAAGTATTTTATCGCATGGTTTTAAGAAATCACCCGCCTCAGGACAGTTTCCATCATTATGGAAAACTAGATATAGTCATATCTTTTAGCGAAAGAGAATTTTCGGGGGGAATTTATCTCTATCAGAGAGAGAATTCAGAGCTCTATCAGAATCTGAGCAAAGTTTTTTTTTGATCGTTGGATTATACACACATAGCATCACGAGGAAACAGAAAGTTATGCCTAGCTCCGGTGGCAAACGAGTTATTTTCCTTCAACTTAGCATCCATTCATGCATATTTCCTGTAACAGGTGTTTTCATGAATACTTCCTGGCTGAAAACCTCTTTTGCATCTAAAACGACCAGTTTCCTCCTCTTTTTTCGGTAATACTCATTAGAAAAGTAGGTACTTTAACCGCACTGCACCAAGTTAAGTGAAAATTTTGAACCTAGCGCCAGTTTTCACCTAATTTGATGCAGCGGTTAAAGTACCTACTTTTTTTGATTTGAGCGATAGCTGAAGAGATCAGTGTTAAAATCAGAAATAGTGTGATCTAACCGCGTTCCGGTTAAACAAAGAGAATTGGTTGAATTATTGATAAACCGGCACGTACAGCATCTATTTGAAATGTCGAATTCTTTAAGTCCATATGAGCGAACATATTTGAATATCCTCTGTACAAAAGAGCTAAGACGTATCCTACATTGTAGACAATTTCGCGTTGATTACAAATATGAATGCTTAGCTACTTATTAATATATGAAAATATAGAAATTTCACGTTATTTCGTTCGGTGCCTTCTGCTGCTAGGCATAACTTTTGTTAGACTGCTTTTTTAATGTGAGAAAAAATGAAGTAGATTAGATATAAAAGATCATCTTTCTGTATGATAATGCCTGTTAGTGGTAAGTATTTTTGTCAATGGTGCAAAGTTAATAAGTCGAACATTAAGCAATTGGGCACTTTTTCTGGATATGATATCAAACGTGGTGCGAGATCTATGGAAGAAGTTGATAACGAGATGAAAAAGTAAGACTGATTCTTAATTTTTGTATATATCAAAAAATTTATGAAGATTTTTGAGTTTAGAGCAGAAAATAAACGTCAATATGGTTATAAACGATATCCAATAGTTGGTAATCGATTTACATACTGGGCGAGCTTGACATAATAGCTGATATCGTTGCTGCGCTGGTTGATCCTAAAGAGATAAATAACTATGACAATTTTTCTCTATTTATTGCAGGATCCGCACTTACAGGAACGTGTTGAACAAACCGATGTGTTTCCTTGTTTTTGTGCGCAGTTTACCGTAAAATAAATACATCCTTTTTGACCATTATTGCATGTAATATTAAGTCTAATAGTTTTACAAGTCAGGAATGATGCTGAAAGAAAGATAAAGAAAATGTACGGTTCGGATTCGGGAATCAGTTCGCTCTACATACCCAAGTTTCCGTAGTTCGTTTGTAATGTAACTACATTTAATGCGCTTTGCGCCGTAGCATAAAATACATTCAGATTCGCTGATCTTCCGTCAGCATCCGTATAACTCGTCATCCATTGGCCATTACTTTCATTCAGATATCCGTATTCTCCACTTGATCGACCACCATTGCAGCCTTGGCCGGCATTCAAGGCACTTCCGTTGCTCAGGCGAATGTCATTGTACAAATTCAGCCGTTGATCTCCGGGGCTGTGCGGCTGAGCCGGAGGTAGAGTGAACGATGGAAACTGAGTTGCTGTGAAACTATATAGACATTTAGTAAATGTGTTTGTTAACAAAACAGCGGTGGCTGGTGTTGTCGCGGCAATTGTGCTGGCTATTGTTATTAAAATTAAGTATAAACACATAATAAAAACAATACTATTCACTTAGAATCAAGAAAAGACGATGCTGAAAATCGTGCCTAAAAAGTTTAGAGGTGTGTTCATGAAGTTAAGATTTTGATGGCTAGATTTGCTTTTCTCAACGAATAAGCAAGCTAGAATTATGATCTTTTTACTAAATATATGGAGTACGACTAGATGCTATTATAGTGAAAAATCTGTATCACATATCCGCCAACAGAACTAAATTGATACTAATTATCATTAGTTAATGCTACTCTATTCTAATAAAGTCTGTCCAATAACTAATTACTCAACGGACAAATTCGAGTTATACCTCATCCAATAGAGAATTTTAAGCCAGTGAACAAATTGCTAGAAAGTGCTCAAAGTAGATGGAAGGGAAGGATCAACTCATTCGAGAGTTACTTATGATTTCGGTGAGGGTGAAGGAAGCAGACACTTATTTGCATTAGAAAGACTGCACTCACTATGAAATTAGTGTATATTCTGGCAACTTTTCAGATTAAAAAGTTAACAAATTTGGAGGTACCCCTCTCTAGTTTTTATACCAGTTGAAAGTAGGTATGCACCGGTATCGGTATACCGAATACCGAAAATACCGACTTTTTTTGATTTTTTAATCTGAAATGAGATTGTCTAGCATTCTGAATACTGAGAAAGAATCAGGGATGCAAAACAAGCGCTTTGTTTGCTGTCTAAGATCAAAGTTTTCCTTTATTTTCTATGTCAGTTGTTCTTACACATGCTCAGACTACACAGCTGAATTCTGACTGTCCATGAGGTTAAACTATCTCATTTCAGTTGAAAAAGTCCAAATAAAAAAAAGTCGGTATTTTCGGTATCGGTATGGATACCGATACTGGTACATACCTAGTTTGAAGTATACAGCTTGTACTATCGGCAAAGCTATTTTTAGAAAAGGATACCGTTTAGTTTTTGAGTTATAAGGCTGCCAATATCACAAGTTAAAGTTAGTAAAATCCATGGACTTCACTTTAATTTTAGAAATTGCACGAACTTTGTTGAACTTTCATGTCTCTATAATCCACGTACTATTTCAGTCATATGAAACGGGGCAATATGGATGAAACGCAAGTAAAACCGTTGTAATCATGTTTTCCTAGGCTTTTTCCTAGGCTCGAGGTCATTTTTGAATGTTTGATGCTCTAATGACTCTTCATTGTTCGATACTAAATCGACATTAATTCAACTAGGCTTCTAACGACATCTTTCAATAAAACACGATTTTCTCTATGCAAACTCGACGCTTTTCAAATTTCCACCTGATGTTCGTAATACGCATGAAATTGTATATCAAATGATGTATATTATTTCGAAATCAAAGAAAGTAAATTTTTCGATGTTCTTCGGTAGTTGGTATAAGGACAGAAAAAGTTTCGAAAAAAATGAAAGTCGATTTCAGGATAACTCAATTTCGTCATTTTGTTCAGAATTCGACGCTGATTCTACCCATATAGTTTTTTCTTCGAAATATTTGGACACGAGAACATGCTTTAACCGCCCGCGTCTTTTGTTGTGGTTTTTGATCCTTTTTTGATTTTTTTTTGGGCATTTTTACAAAAAGTTGATCTTTACAATCTTTAAAAATTATTTTAGTTAACCTGAAACTCAATTAGAATGAGATTATCGATAAGATATCTAACGAATGTCTAAATCCACTTTCTCGTTAAATGTAAACATGGAATTCAACTTATAAGTAATAAGCACGATATAGCCTAAGAATAACTCGTTAGACCCGTGATCAAGTCCCTCCACACAAGAACGATTTTTTCTTGGCTGTCCTTTATCATGAACTGTTTTCATGCGTAAAGTAATACTTTCACATTGTTTTCAGATTTCCTTAGAATACAGTAAAATACTAGATGAACGCAAAATTTGTTGTGGTTTTTGGTCCTATTTTGATTTTTTGGGCATTTTTACAAAAAGCTAGAGACCTACTGGCGAGGGAACGTTTTTAAGTGCCCCCTCGCTTTTTCAACGGAGCCTAGTGAGTTGTAGGTTATCGGTGATGCTGATTCCGAATATGAATATGAGAGCTGCCCTTAGGGTTTTGAGGATCCGGTTTTCGGAAAAATCAGTTTTTCAGAACTCTGGAAAACAACCAAAGCTTTTCTTAATGAGCCATGCCTGTTTCTGATTAAAATGAGACCTCTCCCAACTCTACATGATCTTTCTTTGCAAAGTTATAGAATTTACAAGAAAAGTCCTAAATATTCATTGTCAACTTGAAGCTGGGCTGGGCAACTCCAACTCCAGAGTTGAGGATTTTTTTGACGGGGTTGGAGTTAGAGTTGGTATTTTAGGAGGTTGGAGTTGGGTTTTTGAATTTTTATTCTCAACTCCGTTTTGCATTTTTGGAAATATTCAATGGTTGTAAAACTGACCTTCTAAACGATTGAGTGGCTGTATTCACGAGTGAATTCGTAAGTTCTTTGCGCTTTCCGACCGGAAAAAAGCTCAAAAACGTCCGAAATCCTGCTAAAAACTGAAAAATCTCCCTTACTAAAGTGAAGCAACCGGAGTTGAGACTTTTGTTGACGAAGCTGGAGTTAGAGTTCAAAAATTTTGAGCGGAGGTGGAGCTCGATCGAAAATTTGAAAACGGAGTTGGAGTTGAAAGTCAGCGGAGTTGCCCAGCTCTGACTCAAAGCTACAGAAATAAGAAGAAATTAGTTTAGGGCTTTTCTTGTAAATTGTATAACTTTGCAAAGCAAGGTCATGTAGAGTTGGGAGAGGTCTCATTTTAATTAGAAATGTGCGGCGCGCTACAAGCATGGCTCATTAAGAAAAGCTTTGGTTGTTTTTCGAAGTTCTGAAAAACTGATTTTCCAGAAAACCGGATCTTCGAAGCTCTAAGAGCAGCTCTCATATTCATATTCTAAATCAGCATCATTGATAACCTATAACCCACTAGGTTTCGTTGAAAAAGCGAGAGGGCACTTGAAAACTTGTGAGTACAAATCCTGAAAGAGCAAACATCTTTACACATCCCTAAGTGTATTCAGAATTTTGAACGGCGTTCTGGTAGTGATGGTAGACTAAAGAGGTAGGGTAGAGCCATGTAGTACCACTCGTAAAAATTGATTTTCTCTAAAAACACGTTGTTTTTTCGCATTTTACAGCTCATATTCGTGATCCGCAACATATCTACAGAATAACTCCAACTGGTCACCAATTGAGAATGTCAGGAGCCATTACAGTGTTTTCCTATTACTATCTCAAGTTCGAGCCAAGATGAACCTTTTCAGAATTATTGCAATACGTGTATCACAATCTAGCTCACCCGACGCAGCTGTTGTGGAGGATGAACTTTCGGTACTAGTCGTTATTAGTTGGGCAACGGTTATGGTCGTGATGATGGTGGTGGTAGCGAAACTAGTTGTAGTCGTCACTGCTGCAAAATCTAAAACAATATCACAATGAAAAACATTTCTTCTACAAGCCAGATTTAATAGTTACCTTTACAATCTTTTTCAATTAATTTCTTAAATTTCTCATATTCAATATCAGTTGACACTTCAGACTGTCGTTTAATTTCCTTTCGATCAGTGCTTATATATTCAAATGCCACCGTATCAAAAGCTTGTATAATGATAGCCGGCGTATCTCTTGGATTAAAAAATCGATAAATTTGATTTAGACCCGGTTTAAAATATATCACTTCGTTTTCTTCACATAACCGTGTTAAAAAGGGTTTCTGCTGCGGATTGGCATCGAGATACGGATGAAATTCGATCATAATTTGATTAGAAAGGATGCGTATAATACCATGTGCGATAAATGAATGTTGAATGACAATCGATTTATGATTGGGCGGCCAAATTTCCAAAAATGTCAAATTCCCTACCCTAATTCGAATAGATGTCGAATTTATTCTTCTTGTAAGAATATTGGCTTTTGAGTGCAATGTCTTATAACACCATCCAGATGTTTCACGACAACTTCTTTCAATGGCAGCAATCGTGAAGTTTGGATGCTCCGGATTAGATAGTTTAAAATCCATAACACTTTTATACAATCGTTGATTTGGTTTATCCATATCTTCAACTGCTATCATGTTTTTCTTAGAATTAATCGCTTGTTGGTCATCTATCATTTCTTCTGCGGAAACAAATATCGGTGGGTTACCATCCACAGGACCTTTATATATTTGATGACATAAATTAAGTTCTTCACTACTTTCATCTTCGTCTGTATCAAATAGGAACTTTGAATATGAAGATTTTAATTGCGTTAAATATTTTGCGTCATCATTATCCGTCATATGGACACTAAACAATGTACATTCATTTCTCATTTCACCTTGGCCATATTTAACCAAGAAATTCTTAAAATCTATGCTGAGCCAATACTTGTATCGACCTGGTTGTACTATTTGTAAAATATGATCCCGGGCCATAGTTTCCTTTAATAATGTTCGACGATCGTTAACAAGCTTTTGGAGAGTAAGTTTTTCATCGTCAATGGATAGCATAAGCCAATACTGATTTTTCTTATGCCCAAACTTTCTTTTATTTGTTAATAATAGGTGAAATGGCACGGACAGTTGTGCTTGCACAATTTCTAATGTTATTCCCTGTCTATTTGTTGTTGTTGCTGTAGTTATTGCACGCATGCAGCTATCTGTTTTCCAATACGCAGTGGTGAATAGATTATCATCACCGTTGATTGTGGAAATACGGAGGACAGAGAAAGCTATGAGGCTTATAGAAGTCATGGGTTTCTCTTATAAAAACATAATAACTGTTCCAACAAAAATAAGTAAAGAGAGGAAAGTATCGTGTAAGAGACGAGTGTTTTTCATGTTCTTCTGGTAGATAAAATATGGGAAATATATAATCTATTCACGTTGGTGGTGCCCTGTTGCGAGAGAAAACGTTTTGTTTCAGCAACTATCAGTGTTTATTAATGCTCCTTCGCAATAACGTATTCTCTAACTGCCGGATATCAACAACGATATTAATAGAGCACGTCATAATT